AAATAAACATTTGAAATATATGAGTTTGTATGTAATGTATGAATATAATATACAAGTTTCACTTTTTAAATGGAATTACTGAAATAAATCTACTTTTTCATGATATTCTAATTTTATGACCAGCACCTGTAGAGGAGGGACAGTCTGCATGGAACTGATAACCTCTAATAACATCCATTTGAGGATCCTGACTTTTCTTTCTCAGGATCCTGACTTTCTTAGTAAGTCAGGATCTGTTTTTTTCCCCCCATGTCCCCTTACGGGCCCCGTAGAAACGGTCCATTTTAAAACTAGCAGAACAAAATTAAATTATCAAAACAGTAGCTAAATTAGCACAACCATAGCTAGAAGGTAAAACAAGCTAAACAGTAGCTAGAAGCAAAATATAAAAATGAGCAAAATATTAATGGTAAAATGGTCTGAATTAAATAGCATTTCATCAAGTTCCATCGGACCCTAAAGCGCTTTACACTTCACACATTCACACACTGATGGTGTTAAGCTACATTGTAGCCACAGCTGCCCTGTGGCACACTGACAGAGGTGGGGCTGCCTTGCACCGGTGCCACCGGATCCTCTGACCAACATCAGCATGCAAGGTGGGTGACATGTCATCCAAGGACATCCCAAGGACACAACAACTACACAGCGGAGACCCTCTGGTTACAGGATGACTCCCCTAACCACTCCGCCACGACGCAGCCGGAAAACTAAAAGCAAAACTAGAGCTAAAAGCTAAACCTTGCAAGGGTGTAGCTAAAATCCATAATTAACAAATAAGAAGAAAAGTAGTCAAAACATGGCCAAAACCTAAATTTAATAAACCAATAGCTAAAAACTAGAATGAGATAAACCATTGGTAAAAGCTAAAATTAGCAAAACCATAAAATCATTTTGTCTGTGTAGTACAATTTGTTTGTTGGCTCTTTGGCACAGTAGGTTGAACAGGCACATGCATACCATGGTTTTAATTGCAAATTTTGATCATTAGTGCAGCTGTAAGTAAAACACTTCATCAGTTTGAGATAAGGGGTAGAATTAAATAAGTGTTCACTTCTTCCTACTCCTTTTCAAACAGAAAAGCAGTGGCAATCCAATTATTTGGTTCTTGGTTATGTATGAACATGTTTTCTTTGTCCCACTGATTGCTTGTTTAAAAAAATCCTGTTTGAAATAAACTGCTAAATAAAATAAATTAATAAGTAAAAACTATAAATAATAAGGCTCAGCTAAAAGCTGAAATTGAATAAAATGTAGAAAATTTAACTTTTAATTTAGCTAAACAATAGATAAAAACCACAGTCAAAAGCTAAAGTTAGCTAAACCAGAGCTAAAATCATAAAATAGCAACTGTAACTAAAAGCTAAAATAACCAAAACACTAGAAAAATGCTAGTATTAGTAAAACCATAGCCAAAATCTAAATGTAGCTAAACAGTAGCTAAAAGGTCAATGTAGCAAATTACTGCACAAAAGCAAACATTAGTACAACTGTAGCTACAAGCTAATAGGAGCTATCATTGTGTTTCTGTAGGGGATATTGTTGTAAGTAAATTTTAAAAAGTTAGAAATCCTAAAACAGTTCTGAACTGAGGCAAACATTTTAACAATGGTTAAATGGGAACAATGGTTAAACGGTAACAATGGTTAAAGTAGCACAGACTGTCGGCCTGTAAAAAATAAAAAGGTAAAAGTAAAAACAAGAAAACAACAGTTAACATTTCTTCTGAAAAAGTCTACGAGGTTTTTCCTTTCAGAGCATCTTTTCCTGATCCTGCTGATTGTAAAGCACCAGAGAAAGACGTGTTTTTACACAACTTTTAATGTGAGCGCTAGTTGTTGCATTTAGTGTCCAGTTGAAAGTCTTCTGTTATTTTTGTTATAAGGAGACAGTAAAACAGCAGGATCTGAAGCAGTGAGGGTGGATAGAAAAAACACTAGATACACTCAGATGGCAAAAAAAAAAAACAGGTTTGAATTATCAGAGCAAGTAGGAAGTGCAGCTGTGAAAAGTCTGCCCTGCAGGACAGAAGATCATAACCTTTGATTCTACAAAAACACGGTTAAAGCCACGTAGCTCCGAGATTCAACAGCTAACTGAGATGTTTTTGGAAGAGGGAGAAGTTTGAAAAATGTCTGAACCCAACGCAGTGGGACCACATGATAACAGGTCCACCTGTCTGAGCGAGGGGGAGGGGGTGGGGTCTGTTTGTCTTAGGTCCAGAGTCGCAGCACGGTGGGGGGACGCGGTGTAACCCTGGTTACCTTCGTGATGACAGGTGTGCAGTGGTCCTGAGTCCACTCGGAGGACGAGGGACACTGGTTCTTCCTGGTGCACCGCCCGTCACACCAGCCACACTGCGTCACCTTCGAGGACAGCAAACAGGATGTGCAGGTGGTCAGCTGACCACAGCCGGGGCCAATCAGGGGGATCTTAGTGATCTGGAATGGGGTGGGGAGTAAATACTTTAAAAAACCACTTTCCTTTTCTCTGTTGGCTCAGTGTTTATTGTTATATTTAAAGCCCATAAATGAGTGATTTACTGCTAACCTTGTCCCCTGTGGCCATCAGCACGGCTCCATCTGAGACGGTATCGTCCAGCAGGGCCACGCTGGCAGAGACGGGTCGAGAGTCCAGACGGATGTTCACGTGAGGAGAGGCAAACCGGGAGACCAGCACCTGGAGAACAGAGAACATTTTAGGATTGTCTAAAAGAAACATGAAAAACACTAAAAGTCAAATGTTTGTGGTGCTGTTTATGAAACTATGATGCGTCTGCTCCTGTTTGAAATAAAACATGAGGTGTTTTGCTCTTTGCAAGTTGTAGAATCCCATGTTTTAGGTTAAATCTTGAAGTTATTAACTACACAGTACACGTGTGACCAGGATGAGATCCTTTAACCCTCAATGTACTGTAGGAAAATTCGTGTTCAATAAACTGAAGTCGATATTAAAACCACCATTGTTAAATAAATTGATTTGTAGAAGGAATCAAACCATACAACACCAGAATTCTGGATCTGAGTGAGGTTTATTGTCACTCAAGCTGACGGGAAACCAGCACTACCAGAAAACCAGGAAGTTCATGTATATATCCACCTTCTTCAGTGCCTGCGTTCGCCCCCTACTGACCTACGGCTGAATCACAGGCATTCAGACAATAACCTCATCTACTGTTTTCATAACGTTTAATTATGTGTTGTCACAGATATTTCGGACATGTAACTAATCTATTATCAAACAAAACATAATAGATTAAACACTGTCAACATCACAAAAAGGAAAACCTAAGAATATAGTGTTGTGCTTTTAACATCAGTACTAACCTCTAATAACTTTAAATTTCTTCAGTACCACCCCTGGTACAGTCCCAGTTTGTGGTTGCTTCCTGCCTCTTTATACCCTGACCCACACTACCAGGGACTTTTAATCTGCACAATAATCTGTTTGAACAATTCCTTAGGTGTCTCCTTTTGATCGACACCTTTTTTGACCAACTGCGTTCATCTATAGACTCTCCAGAGAGCAAAATGTGTGGCAAGCCCCTCATGACCACCTGTAAGAGAGGTACACGTAATTGATTGACTAGAATCGTCCAATCAGCTCTGAGCTTTATTCTGACTCCACAGCTGTGTAGCCAATCATGTCACCTTTTATTCAACATGCAGCTTTGGAAATAAAACTTATATATTGGTTATAGTGTATTTTAACTTCAGTAACTAAATACTAGTTACAGTTAATTATGACATATTGATAGCCTTACATAGAGACCAGGCTTGTGAATTTACTCCAAAGGGTTGAAGAGCAGTACTTAATTTAATTTGGGTTAGGGTTAGGCCTGCAGGTTAAATGGATCCACGATTAGTTGTAACATTAGACTTTATTTAATAAAGATATGCTCTTTAAAATGAAACCAGAGAGCACTGACAGAGAGGAGAAGGTAGAAATGACTCAGCCTGTGACTGAAAATATGGATGGAGGACAACAGAGCTGCTTCATGGAAGAACCTCAGCTTAGCCTGTTAGCTTTACCGTTAGCCCCGAGGCTATCACCATATATATGTATTAGCTCAGCGCTACACATTCTCCTCTCGTCACTGAGGTCCTCCATCCACATAACAGAGAGGGGAACACAAAAATGACTCAGCTGTAACTGAAAACATGGATGAAGGACCTCAGTTTACCTTCTTTGTCGAGCTAGCACCGAGCTAATATATATAAGGCGATATAGTGTCGGCACTAGCGCGAAGGCCAACAGGCTAAGCTGAGGTTCTTCTTCCATGAAGCAGCTCTGTTGTCCTCCATCCATATTTTCAGTTACAGGCTGAGTCATTTCTACCTTCTCC